AAAAAAAAACACATTTCTTTCCTCAAAACCAAAGCAATCCATTTTTCATCCTCTATGGCTATGTAACAATCCATAATCCATAATCCATAATACTCAATCCTCAATCCATGGTACACAATTCACAATTCATAATCCATAGATCCCGGATCTATCACAATACAAACAATTCAACCCTCACTAGGGTTAATCATACAGCTAGGACAAAATAAAACCATTCCAAAAAAACCATATCAATAAAAATTAAGAAAAACAAACATGGTGACAATCTCATCTCAAACTTAAATAAACTATCATACTTGGTTGACAAATCATCTCATTCCATGTTTAAAACATTTTAGCAAAAATCATTAAAACAAAATAAATTAGAACAGGACAAAACTCATTTAAATATATCATTTTACTTTAACAACACTAGAGAATATAACTACTTACCTCAATAACTATCTTTCAAAATGTAATTACCACACAGCTATTCGAAACCTCCATGAACATTAAGTAAACATAATTTAATCACCAAGTAAAAATTTATCATTTACTTATCAAGCATCTACATAAAATAATTTTATAACCCATGTCACGCCATTGATGTCTTCTTCCTCAAACCCAACCACCCAACAAACACTTTTGGAAACAAACTACCTAAATAAATAATTCCCCCTTAAAAATTCTTCACGCCACACCACCCAAATTCACAATTTTAATATCAATTCCAAAATCTATTTGTTACAGTACAATCAATCTTACCAACCATGCATCTACATATTCTTTTCATTCCAAAATTCCTAAATATTTCACCAACCATGAATAATAAATTACCTCTAGTTATGCTCGAGAACAGCAACCCCCATTAGTGTCTTTCCTTCTCTTCTAGTGAGAATCTCTGAGATAGAGGAAGGCTTAATAAATAAATATCGAGAGAAGCTTTTAAATACCACCCCCACAATTCTTTTAATCATCTAAATTTAAACTCAAGAAGACAAATTACCTTAGATTGACTCTAGTATGGCCAAATCCCCGGAGCAATGCTCCCTTATTGGCAAGAGGAAGAAGGCATTTCAAATCCTAAAGAAAATGAAAACTGCCAAACAACTTTTGATTTAGATTTTTAACAAAAGGGGTTTTTACAACCTAGTCCTTGACGTATTTCTAGTGATGTGATTATGGTTCTTTCAGGTTTAGGCTTACGCTCTTCACTCTTTACGTGATCTAATAGGCTAACGGCATCGATTGTCTCATATTGCCTATCAAGGACACAAGAACATATTATTAGTAAATGTGTAACACGTAGGTTTAAGGTTAGTTACCTTACCCTTGGGTTTTATGGTATTCAAAGCTTCAAATATAGGAATTCAATGTAACCAATAGGTGTTGAGCCCTAGTTTGGAAGGTGGACTAAGAAAATGATCTCTAGGCATGTTATTCAAAACATTGATAATCTGAATAATTTATTGGGATCGTTTGTGGTCCGAATAAGTGCCTCACATTCTAGAACATTCTCCTCTTTAAAAACATTTTGTTCCTTATATTTAAGGACAAGACTTATTTCTAGGGATGTGATTATGGTTCTTTCAAATTAAGGCTTATGTCGTTCACTCTTTAAGTGCTCTAAAAGGCTATTGGCATCGGTTGCGCATCTCATATTGCCTGTTAAAGACACAAGAACATGTTATTAGTAAATGGGTAACACGTAGGTTTAAGGTTAATTATTTTACCCTTATGTTCTATGATATTTAAAGCTTTGATTGTTGGAATTCAAGGTAACTAATAAGCATTGAGCCCCAGTTTGTGGGGTGAATTAAGAAAATGATCTCTAGCCCTATTGTTCAGACCACTAATGGTTTGAATAACTTATTAGTACTATTAGTGGTCTAAATAGGTGCCTCCCATTCTAAAACATGCTCCTCTTTAAAAACTTTTCTTCATTACATTTAAGGACAAGACTCATTTCTAGTAATGTGATTATGGTTATTTTAAGTTTAGGCTTACACCGTTTACTCCTTTAGTGACCTAAGAGGCTAATGGCTTCGAT